CATGTCATTGTGCGAGGAACCGGGGATTTCCGTTCCCTCGAATCCAGAGCCGACTTCGAATCCCTTGGTTGCTGGAATGCTGAGCATGGCGTGGGCAAGGGACGCCTCTAACTTGTCAAACACCGGCTCGCCAAGGCCGGTGGGAACGTTTCGGATGACACACGTAACTGTGCCTCCGATGCTGTCCTGGCGATCTCGAAAGTCCGCAATGCACTGCTCCATCTTGGCAGCGACTTCCGGGTCTGGGCACCGGACAACCGTCTTATCAACGGTTTCCCTCGTGACCGTTGAGATCAAGTCGAGAAACTTGGGGTTGTGAGAAGTGGCAGGATACTCAGGCGTGGGCGGGATGTGGTGAATGTTGCCGACAGATGACACCCAAGCAACGATCTCAATCCCATGGGCAAGCTTGAGGTAGTGCTCACAAAGCGCACCCGCCGCCACACGACCGATGGTCTCTCGTGCACTCGAGCGACCGCCACCTGAGGATGCACGAACGCCATACTTCTCCAGGTAGGTAAAGTCGGCATGACTGGGGCGAGGATACTGCTTCATGGTGCTGCCCTTGTAGTCTCCTGGGCGCTGGTCCTGGTTTTTGACAGTCATGGCGATGGGAGTCCCGAGTGTGAGTCCTCCCTCCACTCCCGACTGGATTGACACAAGGTCGGCCTCATTCCGAGGTGTGGTGATAGAGCTTTGACCAGGACGACGGCGAGTGATCTGAGGTCGCCTGTTAAAATGTTGTGAACAGTGTGATGTTGTTCTCCACGACTACTAACCTGAGGCTGGAGCATCTCTTCCGAAACCGGAACTCCAGGAGGAAAATTGTCGACGATACATCCTACGCTGGGACAATGACTTTGGAAAAATTAGCGACCAGCGCAAATCCTGCATCGAAGTATACACATACCTCTCGCCATATGTCGTCACACGCAGGAACTGCCCAAAGGTCGACATGGTGGATTATGCTGATGGTTGGCCGAAGACGTATGCTGCGAGGAAATCGTTCGAGGCCCAACGTATCGAAATTCTTGAGTCACATATGCTCACGTAGTCACGTGATGATGGCTCCACGTCAGTCCAAGCTTGCGGTGCTCAGTGAGCGGCGAAAGCGCCTCGAAGGGAAAAAATGGATGCAACCTCTGCGAATGTGCATCCATCACTTGCTTATCGCCCTGCATTGGAGCACTGCAGCATATAGTGGTTGATATATTGCTATATCACATCGAGACCTGGTGGGGGTACACTCGCTTTCGGTGTGTCATCAAGGTTAGGTAGAGCTAAGCCAGCGCCAAGGCCCATGCTTCCGTAGCGGCAAGGGTCTTGGCATTTATGTCTACGTCAGCTGAAATCGGGCTTCCAGTTCCATATTTCAGGGGAGAGCTATGACAAGATCATCGAAGTGTACATATGTTTCAAAGCTGATATTCAGCTGTAGATGTATGTGTATTGAACTCATCAATACTGAAATTTAGCGTCTGTCCACCCAAAGCTCCTTTCCATGTCCTGGCAGGCGAACTGATCCCTCATAGGCCCGTAGGGAGCGGCAGTCACCTTACCACCAACCTCGTGAGGCTGAAGAGCCGCACTCGACAAATAAAAGAGTGCGGTACATATGATCCAGCCGGAACCTTTCGAGTGATGCATTGGCGTTTGCTGTGCCTCGAACCTCGGTGGAGCGATGGCCAGGAACGGGTGGGCGATCACGACTTGCGCAACTAAGCCATCGTATACCCTCTGCCACACGATGGAACACCGCTCAGATGCCACGAGGTTCGACTATGACTACAAAATGTATTCATGGAGGCATAGCCACAGAGCACTATTTTGAAGAAGCGGGACCAAGCAGCACTTGATCTATAACGAAACATGCTTACCTGGTTGTCTAGGAAATTGTCTCGAGCTTAAAGGCCGCAGCATTCCCAGAAACGTTGATTCCTGTTTGGGACTACAGCAAGTCCATCTTACGCTGCTGCAAGGCTTCTCGGATGCCGGAGGTTATGCGGTATCTTACTGTCGAACAGAAACTGCGTGCCTGTGGTCCATCCTTGTGAGCCGATGTCAGATGTCTGACTATAGCCGAACAGAAAAGCCAGTTCTTCCTCGATTATACATCCTCTTTTGCATTGTTCACCGTTACCCTCGGTCTTGTGGGCCTCATCTATTTAGCGCTCGAAGATATTTACACAAAAGGCTTCTACAACTCGCATATGGCAAAAACATCAAGCCGCCGAAGCTGATCTACATCATCAGCTAGAAGATTTGGATAGGGGGACTCTCGCGCCCGTTTTAGCTGGCTGAATAAACCTGGCAGCCAACTATGGGCTGGCGCGTATGACAGCAAGGCACGACTGAGCGAAGAGGTTACAAGTGAACAATAATATTTTACCTGATACAAAGTGTGAAGTACACCTATCCTGACCCTAATCCAAAACAAACACAATAGTGCCGAAGTCCTTGCCAAGATGTTGCCCTATGATCTCGGGCTGCTCCCGCTAACATGCGGGCATGATACAAGAGTGTCTTAAGCCAGTGTGTTTGCTTTCATGCCAGCAAAAGAACTCAGAGAAATCAACGCCTCATAACCAACGGCTTGACACCTCCCAGCCTGATGATGAGTACACAATCCCATTCTCCCTCAAGCATCGCACGATTCTTACCACCTTCAGGTATGTTGACACCCACATCAAGCTCACTTTTCGCGCAGCTTCTCCTTCCATGTAGATGACCACGCTCTGATTCTCGCAGCTTGATGGCTCGATGAATCTGTCTCGTGCGAGGTAGATGTCTGGGTCGTGTTCATACGACCTCTAGGCTTTCGAGTCTGCTCCTGGATCTCATCCTCGGATTCGGAGTGTGAATGGGTAGAGCAAGATCTGGACCTAGGTCCTGTCGTAAGCGTGGGTAAGACGAATTTGACACGTCGTGGTCTGGGAGCAGAAGTCTGTTCTTCGGACTCTTGGCTCTTCGTCGGTTGCGATGATGGGGCATGTATAACCGTGATATCAGAGCGAACAGAGTCAGTGCTGCTTGATCTCCCAGGTTGCTCAGGGGCGCGGTCGATAGAACGGCCCCTATCTTTCTCGAGCGTCTGGGGTTCAAGGAAGTCCCATCCATCACTCTCTTTCTTGGGTGTCTGGGGTTGAAACGGGTTTCGTCCGTGGTCCCCATCCTCCGCCCCTGCGTCTTTCTTTCTCTTTTCAGCCAGCCACTTCTCAGATCGCTTTATCTGCTTTTCTCGCTTAGACTTTGCCTTATCCTCCTCAGACATGCGGCTTCGGTTGCGAGACGGCAACCATGTATCTCCCCACTGGTCTTGCGGGCAGTTGACGCAGCCAGCACATAACTCAGGCTTGTAGCGCTCGTCGATGTCGTAGTCGATAGACGGACATGAGGGCACAGCGAGTCCTAAGGAGAATTGAGGGGAGCGGAACCAGGAGTCGCACCATCTGTAGGCGGCGCTCGTCTGGTAATAGAGCAGGTGGCCAAGATTCTTGTCTGTGGGCAGTGGGCACTTATGGTTGCTGCACTTGCAGCGCCATGCGATCTTTGTGCCTCGGCACATTGTGATGTCGTGTTCAGGGGTGGTTGAGTTTCTGCTGGTAGGTAGCAGAGGCTTAGCTATTTGGTAGGTGATGATGTATTAACTCAAGAAAAGCGTTACGAGAATATATAGGATTGTCAAGACGGGTGAAGTGAGTCGAGACAGACCAGTAACTCACACCTTGACAGAGCCATTGTTGTTGTCTGGACAAAGACCATGTCTTCTTAGACATCAAGTAAACGTACAACCCCTTTGTCCCAACCACGACGTATGTTTTGGCTGAAATGCCATGTGAAGGTGACAGCAGCACGCTGGAGTCAAGCAGGGCATGGTAGTCTGGTATAGAGAGCCTCGGAGGTTTCGTTTTCACCTTAATTCACCACATACTACTATACCAAATCACGGTACCTCCGACCCTTGAGCTTGACATGTGAGTATGAACCACTTCACCTGGCAGACACCTTCACAACGGTTGTATATTCTGGGCTGCTCCCCTGTTTTAGTTCTCTCTCCATCTACTCGACTTCCAACCTCTTCCCAACTTGCCATCACCACAACAACCACTCACAGACATACAAACACCACTTACCAAGCATATAACAGGCACCCACAAACGCTTCCACACAACAACCACGCACAAACACTCCAGCCACAAAGCTCACTATGTGTCACGGAACAATCGTTGAACGCCGGTGCAAGTGCCACAACCCCAACTGCCCAGCAAGCGGACGTGAGCCCAACGCAGAAGGCCACTCTCTAGGCCTACAGGATGCAGTCTTCAGTACTGTCTTCTACGACTTCTGCAAGGATTACCTCCGGACATCACGATACAACTACAACGCCGTGCACCCTAACTGTCCTTTCATCACCTGCGAGGTCAAGCCGAGCTGGGCTCAGGACTTGTGCAAGACCTGCCAGAATTGTCCTCAGGATGAGGAGGCTACAGTTGCCCAGAAGGCTAACGTGTCCACCCCTATAGGCGACGAAGCTAAAGACAAGACGACGGTAGAAACCACCTGTTCTTGCTCGGCGAGTTATCTCCCTAAACGCCCTGTGCTAACCCGCGGACGGAATGTTTGGGCATGTCCCGAGTTTGAGCATGAGAGCTCGTGTGAAGTGGCACGAACTCTGGCTGGGTGCTAGAAGCTGTTGCTGGCTAGACGGGGAGGCCATGTGGCATGAGATGTCTGAGAGAAACGATGCGGTATACTTGTCATCACCATGTGTGCGCGTATGTACTAGCAGCCAAGCGCCTCATTACTATCACTGTTGTTAGCAAGGTAGTAGTAACAAATGTGAACAAATCTTGACCAAACGCCGAACCAAATGAATTCATGATGTCCCCATCCAGTGACTGCATCACAGGAACCCACTATATACCATAATGAACCATGTGAGTCCCGCAGTGATAAACCCCTGCATCTCCGTAACGAGGGGGAAAAAAACAAAAAATATAGGGCTCAACCGGGATTTGAACCCGGGACCTCCTGCAGATGCGTCTTCAAACAGGACCCAAAGCAGGAATCATACGACTAGACCATTGAGCCTTTTTGGGCCGCAGATGCGACCGAACGACCCCGCCAGGGCTCGAACCTGGAACCTCTGCCACCGGAAAGCAACGCGCTACCATTGCGCCACGAGGCCGTTTGTTGGATGTGGTGAGAAGTGTTGTGGTTGGTGAAGAGATTGGTGCGGACCGAGTCATGGTCGCGCATTTCAGGGGTTGGGGGAACATTGGGGTGTGCGGGGCTGGCGGGGGGATCCATTTCGGTTTCCATCTGGGTGCAGGGGAAAAAAACTGGGGCACTTTCGAGGTCTGCATAACTCTCGATGAAGGCTGACAAGAAGAATATTTTCACTTCAAAATAGTTTGCATTATGTTGCTTGTTAACCTGAATATCGCCCCATATAACTTAGACCCCCTTTGCATGGGCGTGTTCGACCTGTTCCTCGATCTCGGCAGCCTTTGAGAAGTGGCTCTTCTGGATGGGGTTGACATCCTCGAACACTGGACACATCGTTAGCAAGATCCCGCCAACCACGCATCTCATCAAGGGACACTCACAATCAGCCAGCTCCTCGAGGGTAGGACCCTTCGTCTCCGGATACACAAACCAGATGATCAGCGTCTCGCACGCCAACCAGACCACATACACAATGTAGAACTTCCAACCGATGTTGCCCAACCCAATAGGGTTGACGAACTGGTTGAACGCGCTGCCAGCCCGGGAGAACACCTGCGTGAGACCGACGCCCTTGGCGCGGTGCACGAAGGGAAAGACCTCGGTGATGAAGATGTAGGTCAGCGGGTGCATGATGGTGTAGAACATGTAGTAGATGAAGATCATGGCCACCACGGCGATGGCGGCGCTGTGGCTGCCGGTCTGGGCGAAGTTGGCGGATACACCGGTCCAGACGGCGAAGGCGCAGGTCATGCCGATGAAGGCAATCAGGTATTGCGTGCGGCGTTTGAGGAGCTTGGTCAGGAAGGCGCCCGTGCAGCCGGTGATGAGGTTCCAGCACTGGGGAGGGAGTTAGTGATCGTGAGTGGAAAGGGTGGGGGGAGAGGTAAGGGGAACGTACTGTGAGAGCCAGGTTGATGATGTTCTGTGTCCGCTTATCCTTGATGTTGACCGTCAACAGCACCTTGGCCAGGTAGTATGACACCAGTCCGTTTCCAGACCATTGACTGAAGAGTCCCACGCAGGCAGCGATAAATGTCCTCTTCCGGTTGCCGGGGGTCTGGACGAGCTCGATCCATTTCCTCTTGGAGTTCTCGACCTCGTGGCGAACTTGGGTTTGGATCTCAACGAATTCGGCGTTGACAAAGGGGTCTTCGCGGTCGCCCTCGGCGTGGTATTTGACGAGGATGTCGAAGGCTTCGGCATCGCGGTCTTTGGAGAGGAGCCAACGCGGTGATTCGGGCACCCACCAGATAAAGACCAGTTGAAGAATGGAGGGAGCGATCTGGACGATGGAGGGAATGCGCCACGCCCAGTCGTTGGGGATTCGGTAGGTTCCGAGAGTCGTTCCAGCGGCGATAATTGCACCTACGTACTGCGCGGTGTCAGTCAAAGGTCAAGGGAACCAGTAATGAGGGTGTAACACTTACCCAAGACTCGTTGAACAGACCGTTGAGTACAGCAGACTCGGTGGGGTAGGCCAACTCCGCGATAAGCTGCGAGGCACCAGAGATACAGAAGGGGATGCCCATGCCGAGGAAGATACGAGCGATGAGGAACATGGCGACGTTGACAGCAGCTGTCTGGAGCACTACACCGATAAGGAGGATGATGGACCCGATGGTGATACTGTGCTTTCGACCGACTTTGTCGTTGACGTAAGGCACAATTGGCAGAGAGAGAACGGCACCGATGCTGAAGGCGGCATTGATGACACCAAGAAGGGCACCCTTGGGGTTGTTGAAGTCTGTCGCAATCCGTGTCAGCCAAGAGTATCACGCCATGGTTAAAAGGAAGGGGCAACTGACAGGTCAGCCAAGGCGAGACAGCCTGCAAACCATTGAGAATGGAGCCATCGTAGCCGCTGGTCATCTCGCAACCGAGAGCAGCCGGCACGAGGGTGAGGTAAAGACGACGGAGGTTGGGCTTCTTGTACCAAGGTGTGGTGTTGAGCTTCATCAGCCGGTTCACCTCCGACTCGCCGGCCACTTTGTTGACGTCTGTCACGACCATGTTGACTGCTGTGTGTTTGTGTTTTGGTGCGTTATAGGAGGATGCTACCTTGCGCCTGCGATCGTCCCCAATCCGGGGCCCCATGGGGTTCTTATACTGATCAGCAATGTCAATCGCAGTGCAGCCAGGCATGTCAGACCCGACATGGTGGTAAAGATGTCAACCGGCACTTTTACGGCTCCACCTCCACCCAAACCATGGGCCTGGGATGTGGTTTCTGGGGTATGGGTGTGCGTCGCATTGCCGACGCCCGGCTCTGAGTGGAGGCAAGATAATGGCGTCGTGCAACTTCCTCTTTAACCGGTGCGCTAAATGCATTTTGCCGGAAATAAGCTATGTGACACTCGCACTATCTGTCGTCGTTTCTGGAGACGCGTGGGGTTTGAAGTCGGTGATCGACACCGGTGGCAACCTCCAGACCAGTAAGTGATCCGTTTCTGGGAAGAAGTGAGCATTCCCTTGCTTATGGTTGGTCACTGCCAAGCGCGGGGTTGACGGTTTCCCCCCGGGTTTTCGAGGGTTTGGAGACGAGCTAGGCCTGAGAAGGAACGGTCAGGCAATAATTGGGAGACCTTTTCGGAGAGAAGTCCGCACGCCAGAATGTCCGTTACCTTTAACCGGATATCGTCATGTTGGCAATAAGGAAACCGAGGGCGGACAAGGATGGGAAGTGTTGCGGCTGTCACTTTTGGCCGCCTTATAAGCCACTTGATCCTGGTGTGATTGTGGGACCACATTGACGGCATACTCGTGCAAGTATCTTTACAGCAAGTGGCAGCCCTCGTTCGCTCTTACGACATCCTCCATCATGGCTCCTTCCACACCCAAAGCCTGTCTCCGTGTTGAGGGGACAGACATTGTCGACGGCAATGGCAGCCGAATCATCCTCAAGGGCGTAAGCCATACCATCTAGCATCATAATCAGATTTGTCACTGACTGAGCCTGCAGTGTGCCACTGGCGGCCACACCAACATGGAGAATTTTATCACCGGTTACCCCGGCCATGAGTCTGAGATGAGAGCCGCCATGCTGGAGGTCCTTGGACAAGAGAAATATGATTTCTTCTTCGACAAGTTCTTGGACTATTTCTTCCAACCAGCAGACGCCAAGTTCCTTGCCTCGTTGGGCCTGAACTGCGTCCGCATTCCCATCAACCACCGCCACTTCATGGACGACCTAAACCCGTCCGTCATCAAACCTGAAGGTTTTCGCCTGATTGACAAGATCGTCAAGATCTGCGCTGACGAGGGTCTCTACACCATCATTGACATGCACACCTTCCCGGGCGGTCAGAACCAAGGGTGGCACTCCGACTCCGGCATCCACAAAGCCCTGTTCTGGGACTTCAAGGACTTCCAAGACCGCATGACTAACCTCTGGGTCGAGATTGCCAAGCACTACAAGGGAAACACCTGGGTGGCCGGTTACAATCCCATGAACGAGCCCGCAGATCCAAAGCATACCAACCTGCAAGCTTGGTACAAGCGAGTGGAAAAGGCTATTCGCGAGGCTGATCCGGACCACATCTTGTTTCTGGACGGAAACACCTATGCCATGGACTTTACAGCTTTCAAGGAGGTGTTGCCAAATTGCGTCTATGCCATCCATGATTACGCCACAATGGGCTTTCCAGCTGGCCAACCGTATGTGGGGACGGCAGAACAGAAGGCGGTCCTGCAGAAGACTTACGAAAGAAAGGTGCAGTTCATGAAGCAACACAAGGTACCGATTTGGAACGGAGAGTTCGGCCCTGTATATGCGAGCCCTGAGGAAGAAGGACATGAGACCATCAATCAGCAAAGATACGACCTGATTGGGGAGCAATTGCGGATCTACAAAAAGGACGAAATCAGTTGGAGCATTTGGCTGTATAAGGACATCGGGTTCCAAGGTATGTCTGCAACCGTGCATTCTGACTTCGGATTCGTCGAAAACACCCTCCACTAACACCAAACAGGCATGCTTTATTGCAGTTCCGACACACCGTACATGAAGCTCCTCAAGCCATTCCTCGAAAAGAAGAAGCGCCTTGGCCTCGACAAGTGGGGAAGAGACGACAAGCACGTGAAGCACATTTGGGAGCCAGTTGTTGCGCACCTGAAAGAGGAAATCCCCGAGAAGTTCCTGAACAAGCGCTATCCACAGCACTGGAGAATCGAGGGACACGTGCATCGTGTCATGCGTGAGACGCTGTTCTCGGAGATCCTCACGTGGGAGTATGCGAGCTACTTCGAGGGCAAGACGCTGGAGGAGCTGGACGAATTGGCTGCGAGCTTCAAGTTTGAGAACTGCATCCAACGAAAGGGACTGAATGAAATCTTACGGGCGGACGCGGAAAAGGTTAGCGTGTAGTTGAGGCATTGCATGCAGGCTCCTGTAATTGTGGAATGATGGCAATGCAATAATCAGGCATCAGTTTTTGCCCTGAGCAGGGTCACCAATCTATTCCACGATCCGATCAAATACACTTTCTGTAGGACCTATAATAACCTTTGACAAGAACGGACGACGCATGCCGAGTCCTCGATTCATGCAAGGGGAACTAGCCCGTCTCAATTTGTGACTCAGTATCATGAGTATATGCTTTATGGTGCAGGTGAAAAAGGGGGTCCTTGTCCCAAAAGGGAAATCAAGAATCAGAGGCACGGCCAGGTCGACGATGATTTACACCACGTCCTATTAGATGAGATTACCGTCCCAAAGACGGATCAGCTTGATGTGAACTATTCACTCTCTTTTGAAAAGCAGTGGTGGCCAAGTTCCGTGCCCAGGGGATGAGTGCCCCTTCGGAAGGAGGTTCTGCAGCAGCCGGAAGGCATGTTGCAGATTGATTTTGCACGCCGAGCATTGC